ACTTGGGTTACAAGCTTGCCTGCATGCGAACAAATCACGCTCTAAACATCTTCGTCGAGACCTTTGGCCCGTTGGCCGTGTAAAATCTGTAACCGGTGACTGCATGAGTCTGTTTTTACGTTTGTTGGTGTTTTTGAGTCTTAACAAATGACAATTCCAGCTTGGTAGCGCAGAGATATTCTGGTTTTGCAAGAGCACAGGGCAAAGCGTACTCACTCTGTCAAAAAAAAAAAGTCATTCTCGCTTCCCGAAAAATCAACAACTTTTAATTTTGATCAAATATATTTAACAAAATATTAATATTTATGGTACATAATTAGTATCATTAGGTAGACCGTTGAATATACTTTCATAATAAATTTATTTAGAGATATAAATATTGCACGTATTTTCTACAAATCTAGTCAAAGTTAAAAAAGTTTGACCAACATTATTCCCATAGCGACTCTATTTTGAGAGGGAGGGAGTAAGTGCGTAACCTTGAATGAATCTAAGTGAAATGGCTTGTGTTTTCCACGAGGGGGGAAAAAGAAGGATTACGGCTTAGAGAGGGGAGCGTCCGCAAGTCCAACAGCCCGCTGCCAGTTTTGCTCTCAAGAGCAGATTCGTGTTAGCAGTGGCGTGGGGAAGAAGAAGAAGAACCAGAGGAGAACAGAGTTGGCGAGGAATGATTGGGCTTTTAGAAATAGAATTCAGTTACATCAGTGTTCATAATCTCTCCTTGCCCTCTCTCTCTACTTAAGTAGTCTCCAGCTACACCACTCAAGGGCTAGATGCCTAGATACAAGGGAGTTGGGCTTCCTGACGCGCACGGGCCTGGGCGCAGGATCTTGGGCCGGTCCATCAGCTTCGTTGTCTTGCTCAGTGACTTCCTCTGTTGCCGTATCAGGAACAGTGATAACAGTCCCTCCTCCTTTGGAACGGGCGAGGAAATTGTTGGCGAAGCTGCTGATAATTCTCCCAAGTGGCCAACGATGAGGGCATATGCGACCACTTGATCAGCACCTGCTCCACAGGATGATCTCCAGATATCCATCGGCGCTGCAAGACTTGAGATGGAACCTGAAATTCAATGTCAGGCTGTAACATCCCTGGTGTTACGAGCTTGCTTAGCACCGAGATTTAGGTCCGAGAAGGATTAGCTTAACAAGTTTTTAGGTTTTAAAAATTTATAATGCACGTGAGGCGAAAAACAATTTCTAGGAACAAGGATCAAACATAACTTGTATTTAGTACTTAAATAAAAATTGAAGTACAAGTTTAGAAGATGGAAATGCTGACTTTAACTTTTGGAAAATAGATGTTGTTAACTAGTGTTTTGGGAGCTAAAAAAAAATCAAATTTAACATTAAGATAAGCTATTTTCGTTAAGTCGACAAACACTTGAACTATTGTTAACTCTTGAGGGGATATTAATAATCGTAGGGGTGAATAATTTCAATGTTAACTCTGCTAAGATTATATATTGTAATTATAGGGTGGGTAATGTTAGACAATTACTTTATATTATCCTTTTAAATGATTGAGGTAGGTAATTTAGATACAACTTTAGAATTGTTACTTTAGGTTTCTTTCATGATGGGAAGTGCGGATGTTTATTTAAAGGAATGATTCAATGGTTTATGTTGTCAATAATAATTAGAGCCCACCAAGTTGGTGGTTGAGTGTTTCTTTTTTGTGTGTGTGCAAAAATCCTAGAATTATTTTGATGGTTGAGTGTTTCTTTTTTTTTCCCAAAAACCTAGGATTTATCTTTGTTTTTCTCTAGTGCGTTTTGTGAGATTGGGGCCTTCAATTAATAATAGTAAGATTACGAGATATACCCTCTGTCCCCCAAAGAATGCAATTCTAGGTATGTTGAGCAAACATTTATCTAGATTTATGCCAAGAATTGCATTCTTTTAGGGTCAGAGAGATTATGGATCATAATTTACCTCTTTTAACACGGTAGATGTTAGCACCATTATCTATGAATTTCTTCATTTGTTTTAGAAAACTAGCAATAAAATTTTTCAAAGCGATACGAGTATAAAAAAATATGGTTTGAAATCAAAAGACAAATAAATTTAACTCAGCTCTGTGTGCATTACCAAACAAGAATCGTCACAACCTGGTCTCTACACAGTGTGAGTGCACGCAGGCTTTAACTTACTAATATGTCAACTACCTTTTTATTTTTGTCTTAGTGGCAGAAGAAGCTGCAATGTTCAGTACTCACGCTTTTTACTTTTAGACATCTTGTTTGACCGTTTATCTTGTCCAAATTTTTTGTATAAAAATTATTTATTTTGTTATGACTTATTTTAAGATACTTTAATAATGATTTATTTATTTTATTATTTGCACAAAAAAACTAAATAAGACAAATGGTCAAAATAATATCTAAAAGTCAAAGGCGTCATCTATTTTGGGATGAAGGGAGTATAAGAAGTTTCAAACAGAATAGATATGGTCATAGTTTAGGCTTGTTTGGTGGCAGAAGAAGCTGCATACGGGAGCAAGTCAATTGCAGAAGAATCTAAATCGTTGCCATACACTTCTTCTCAAAAATGCCTCCAGCCAAGTTTTGGTGTTGCAGAAATGTTAAACTGCAGACATCTTCTCAAAAAATTCTCCAACCGACTTGGTGCTGCAAAAGACAGTTGGTAGAGGTTAGGCAATTCTTTCTTTTCCAAAATAATTGAAACAAATAGTTTTAAAGCAAAAGAATGCTAGCGAACGACAAGGTTGAACTGCTGCCATATAAGACCTCACAATTGTTTCATGAGATTATTTTAAGTTTTCCAACCAAAATGATGATGTCTACACCCTGCACAAGCTAAGCCCAATCTGAACTCACAACATGTTTGATTATAACAAAACTTATAGATTATACTTGACTCATGTAATTAAACAATAATCATCCAGACTACAGAGGGTGTATTAAGCACAATAATTTGCTAGAACTTGGTGAGAACTTAACTTCTATATATATTAAGCACAAAAGTAGCCCTGTTCTTGTCCAAAAGAGTTGACTGCAATATCCCCCATAAAGTAGCCCTGATGATGTTCTTGTCCAAAAAAATGCCCTGATGATTATTAGCAGTCACTGCTAAAGCCACTTTATATATAACCACATTGATTCATTAATTCTTACATAAACAAAATTAAATAAACCTGACACAGAATAGATGATAGTATAACAATGGTTAACTAAGGTTGTTGAGTCTCAGCAGCACATGCCAGACATATTAGCCCCGTCGAAATTCAGCATATCAAATTATGTGAATCAAGGAGGAAGTTTCAGATTGCCAACGGTTGCTAAAAGATGAATGCATATAATAGCAAATTCATCTGCAGAACGCCAACAGGTGCTGCTTAAAAAAGTAAATCCAGCAAATCTCTAAGGCTTGCATCGACAAACGAAATGCAACTAACTGTTTCAGATCAAGTCAGACTATTTTGTGATTGACTCTACACACAAGACCACACCGCATGAATCACAAAGTCAAGCTAACTGCCATGATTAGTCTGACTTGAAAGAGATCTCAAACCTGAGATTTTACTCCTTCCAATATCAGCGATCATTACCACAACTAAGGGCAGCAGAATCGATCCAAAGAGAGTGAATCTTACATACGAGTAGTTATCTGAATAATACTATAACCTGTGTAGGAATAAATTTACATTTGTAAAGATGCCTTTGCTGCTTCAAAAAATAAACTAATCTGCTTCTTGTGCTCTACTCCACAAGCAACAAAAGAAGCAAAAGAACAAAGTGATTTAACATACCTCAGAACCAATCTAGAGATGGCTTCCATGAGGATTCCCTTTCACGTTCTTCATAAACAAGGATGCTGAAAGACATCAAAGAGAAGAGATTCAGGATCAGACTCATTCGTTGCTTCTACGAGTAGAACTCAAAGATGTCTCAAAGAAAAATGATTGATGCATTTTCCTTCTTCAGTACATAAGAAAAAATATTAACAAAATCCTTAAATGGAGCAAATAAAGTCTGTCAAAACTACACCACATCGACTTCCAACTTAATGGAATAAAATGGAATTCCTATAAGTTAGGTCAGCCTGAAATTGCTTAAGTCCCACAACTAAGTTAATGAGATCGTTGTTTTCTTTTTCAAATAATAACAAACCTTTTTAAACAGAATAGAAAATAACGTATTTGTGTTGTAATCTTATACATTGTCAGCCCATTACAGTAATCTTATTCAGATAAATAGCACATAGTGCTCAAGCCTATACTTCCAGAACAAATTTTCTGCCCAGGACATCATAGGGAACAGCACTGGAAAACTCAAATAATGGATTCCACAATCCATTTTTTTCTTAAGTAAACATGCACGCTGTAATTACTCAAACCATGATGTCTTAGGGTGCTGTGATTCTAAATCCCCACAACCTCTATTGATGCAGAGCAGGATGGCATGCCTATTTCATTAGCAGAGAAATACTAAAATTGTAAGAAGCGACTCTGTACAATCATATCAAGCTCTATGGCCAGCAAATCATGCTCCTGCTGCCATGAACATCACATGCATGAACTAAAGAAATCCCAAAGTAAAACAAAAAACAAATTTGCTAGCATCAATGGAAGCTTCGGCCTGGACAGTCCATTATTACAAACAAGCCGTCTTTGTACAACCATCTAATCTGGCCTTGTTGTGAATAGAGGATCGACATCTTTGTTCTTGAATTTACACACGACCTTCTATGAATTTACAGACGACCTAAAGATCCTCAAGCAGGAGGAATTAGAAAGCAAGCGGGGGGAATTAGAAAGAAAGCAGAAGGAATTCTCTCTCTCCTTCTCTCCCGACTTTATCTCTCTCACTTCCCAACTTGCCCAACTTAGAACTCTAGCTGCAATTTCCATCAAATTCTTATCAGTTTGTCACGATTACGCTGGGATCCTGACACAATGGCACCGATAACATAAATGCAAATTGCAAGTTAGGGGAGGGGTGAGATGTAGGGTTACTGGCAACTGAAGGGTAATGTGGGATGCCGTTGGCAAGGGGCTCGAACCTAACCCTAGATGTTGCACAGCCGCATGGAGATGCTCCTTCTCCTGGGTCATGCGCTCATGCTACGGGCTGCTGCCCTCTTCTTCCGCAGCGAAGCAGGGGTGGGCCGGGCTGGGAGAAGGCGGCGCGGCAGGGAACACGGTGTCGGCAGCGTGGCAGGGAGCACGGCGTCGGCGGCGCGGCCTGGCAGCGGGACGGGAGCGGAGGGGGCGCGCCGAGACCGGACGAGTGCGGGGGGCGCGGTGACTGGGCGGAGTGGCTCGTGCGTGCGGTCGTGCGGGAGGAGATTGGGGCGGGTTGTGCGGCCGTGCGGGGAAGGGGAGGCGGCGGTGTGCGGCACAAATTTCGATGCGGCTTCACCACGGTTTGGAGAACGGGTCGAGTTCTGTCTTTTCGGAGTAGAGATGAACTTAAAACAAACTAGATCCCTTAAATTTCAACCCTGCTTCACCTGAGCTTATTCAGCAGAATAATATTTTTTCTCACTATATTTTATCATAAATATCAGTATAAATTAAATTTCAGCATAGCCCTCGGGATCTTCTTCATGAACTGAAGACACTGTGTAGCTCAAAACACATCCTTAAGGAGTTAACGACATGCTAGTATACCACACCAATATAAAGTCAGAAGAGCAAATTCAGAAACCGGTGCCTTATCTGCACTAATAAAGCTAGATTTCCGAAACCCAATAGTAGCGTGGCGACGATAAGATGAAACCACCGTATCCCATCTTCCCAAAGTCTTTTTCATTTTTTTTTCCTACCCCGCACTGAGGGGAATAAAGAAAACAGCGAGAACGAGATGAGAGATATCCTTTGCGTGCTACTGCTCCAGTACGAGCTCCAGCTAGCTGGCCCCATCTGAAGAGACGATTCTGCCCCCGGCCCGGTCAAAGACACCCTTTCGGTCAAAGCAGCTTCCCGTGCGTGCTGTCGTATCGTAATCGTAATTTAAAAGCTGGAAAGCGATTGCGGCTCCACATGGCTCCGCTAATGGCCCTCGTAATCTCTCGGGACTTGTCTTTACGCCTCGCGTCCCCTTCCTGAATCCTGATCGAGCACATCTTTTCATCGCGCTCGCCTCCGTGCCACGCCACTTTGGCAGTGGTAGGCTCAGCAGCTTGTGTGCTCGCCTGCTTGGGTTTGTCTAATCCCCAGGAGTAGATTACTTGGGGGCTTGCTGCTCCTTCTCCCTCGACTGCTTTATAGCGGTAGGGTCTCGTTCATTTGGCTAGGATGCTAGTTTGAAAGATGTTGTTCGCTGAATTATTATTTAAAAAAATATTTATTCGCTAAAAAAGTACGTTTTACAACTGGTGTGGTCCAGGCCCCTAGCGGCCTGTGGATTGCGTGTGGTGCAGTTTCTTGTTGCCAGTGATTGCTTCGGGGGGAATGGCTGTTGGGAAGATTGTAAATAATTGTGGATTATTTACTGACGGTAGTTTAATGTGAGAGAAAAATATTATTTCGTTTTATAATCTACGATTATATACGAAGCGAGCGAACGAGCTTCTAGCTGCTTCCGTTTCCGCCAGAAAAAATGGCCCGAACACCGATGAACGCCACAAATTCTGGTGCTAATCTTATGGCACGAAAGAAGTGACGAAATCCGAGTAAAAAATGTTTTTTTAGGTCCTCGGTAAGTATATGAAGAAAAACACGTACAGTTAGAAAGCTCGCGAAACTGCAGTCCACATGGAAGGAAGGAGAGCTGACTAGCTGAGCGCCTGAGCCTGAGTGAGCGGCTGAAGCGCCGAGCATGCAGAGGCAGCCACACCACCGCACTGCCGCCCACTGCGCCTGTTTCGGGTCGGAGAGCCTGTCGCCCGCCTATCCAAAGCTCAGCATCCATCCTTCCCTACTCCCCCCTCTTCACTCCCCAAATCCCATCTCCCACCAGTTCCCCCAACACTCTCCCCCCTCTTCCGCCATGGTCATGGACAAGTCCAACCTCCCACAGCCGCCGCCGCCGCCTCCCTCCTCCGCCTCCTCCTCGCTCAAGTCCCTCAACAAGGCCTCCTACAAGATCTCCAAGCAGTCGTCCTCCGCCTCTCCCGCTCCTGCTCCGGCTCCCGCTTCCACCATGAGAGCGCCTTCCCCGCCGCCGCCGCCGGCTCCCCGGCCACCCCCACCGCTCCCGCCGACGCAGGCCCCCTCCTTCCCTGCCGACCACCCGCCTCCCCAGCCCCCGGTATACAACATCGACAAGTCCAACTTCCGCGACGTCGTGCAGAAGCTCACCGGCTCGCCGTCCCACCTCCTGCCGCCGCAGCCCGCGGCCGCCCCCGCCCCCACCCGCGCCCCCCCTCATGGCGCCACCACCCCGCCTCCCATCATGGCGCCGCCGCCTCCTCCTCCGCCTCACATCATGGCGCCTCCGCCGCCGACGGCGATACCCTCCCGCCTCCACCGCATCCGCCCTCCGCCGCCAGCCCCCGCCGCGCCCGCCGCCCATCCTACCGCCGGCACCGCCGGCGCTCTCCCCCTCCCGCCGCTCCCGGCCGTCTGCATGACCGCGGAGTCGCCCATCTCCGCCTACATGCGCCGCCTCCGCGGGATGCCCTCGCCGATCCACGCGCCCACGTCGCCGCTCGGCTTCGGCTGCCTGCCCTCGCCACGGACGCCGCCGTCGCCCGGCGTGCCCATGCCGGCCACCAGTCCCCGCGTCCGCGACCCGTGACGCAGGAACCCCACCACCGTTGCGTCGCCGCCGATGTGTAGATACAGCTGGTGTTGGAGAGATCTGGCGAGGCGGCGGTCGGCGACCAAAGGAGGAAGCAGCAAGCAATACCTTCACATTCTGTTAGCTCCATCTCTCTGTCTCAAAAACCTTTAGCTCAAAAATTCTTTCTTTTTTCTCCTAGTAGCGTGCTCCAACTGCCTTGATATTTTGTTGGTGTATATGGGACATGCGGCGTTTGGTTGGCAACCAATATGGATTGCTCATGTTTGGCTAATTTTTTGTAACAAAGCTTATGCAAGCAATATGTATGGCAGAATCTCATATCCAAAACTTCTTTAGGACGATGATATACTTACCTCCGTTTACTGTAGCAAATTTGACCATAGGTTTTTTTTCTGCAAAAGATTTTTTGATACATCAAGTTTTCGCATATATGATTCTTTATTAAACATACTTCATTAAAAGTTTTCACATATATGATTCTTTATTAAACATACTTTATTAGTGTTATATACATGGAAGTATCTAAGATTTTTTCAAATTTGTTACAATAAAAAGTTACTGATAGGTAAACACAAACGGAGGTAATAGTAAGTAGTATGTTTTAAAAAAATGATATAGTAAGTAGTAGTTTTTATCATCGGTGGGACCCGTCTACTCTTGCTTGGCTACATTTGCAGTAAAAAGTAAACTCATTTGAACTACAATGTTCTTTTGTCCTGTTCGGTTGGCGGCTGAAAATATTATTGACTTATTTGTTGTACGAAAAAAATACTATAAAAAAGTACGGCCTGTAAGCGTAGTGCTCGTGACTTGTGAGGTGCTCGTGACTTGTGAGGTCAAAAGGACTGGGTTCTTGTGCCTGTGCATGCGATTCGTCGATTCGATATGTAGACTTTAGCATGTTCGTTTCGGCTTGAACGATCGTGGATTATAAGCTAGAATAGTATTTTTCTCTTACGTCAAATTAGCTAGCAGCATTTCTGGCTTATAATTCACTATCGTTTCAGCCGAAATAAATAGGCTGTTGGTCTTTGTTCTGTGCTGGATATTTGGATCCTTGTTTCTGGTGTGACATGGACCTCGTTTGTTTTGTGGTGTACGATGGCTCATCTAATTATGGTCACATGAATGAATTATACAAAGCATGTTTGGTGACACATCGCCGTTTGGTTCTGCTCTCTTGTTAATCATGGGCTGTAGTACTATTTGCTTATCATGATTCATGAGTATTGTAGCCGTTTTTGTGCTGGGCATTGAACTCTCCTGAACTTCTTTGGGCCAAGCATGCATCCTAAACCGAGGCGATCAAAATCACACGCCTGAGAGAGACCGGCGCAAGGCAAGGCAGTTTTTTGCATGGGGTTAAAGCATACATGTCCCTGATGCTTGTTTGGCTGGTGTCCTCAAGACCTGTCTGGCCTAGGCAACAACATCCAACCATTAGCACCCTGTTCACTTGATCGTATCAGTCATGATACAGTGTTTTTCTCTCACAACAAAACAGCATCAGCCGGCTTATAAACCACAGAAACGAAGCAAACAGGGTGCTAGGATTGTTGTCTAGGCCAGGTAGCCTTTCCAGGTCTAAACCAAACATGGCCGCCACACGACATGGGTAAGGATCAGGTGTTGCAATCTTTTGTGATTGAGCTAATCAGCTGTTTGGTTCTACCTTGTGGACGTTACCGGTGGGAGATACGATTGAACTAATTTTCTTCACATTTGTGTAAATGATTTAAAGCTGCGGACGTTACCGGTGGGAGATACGATTGAACTAATTTTCTTCACATTTGTGTAAATGATTTAAAGATGCGGACGTTACCGGTGGGAGATAGGATTGAACTAATTTCTTTACATTTGCGTTACAGTGGTAACGCAAACGTAAATGATTTAAAGCTGCAGACGCTATCGGTGGGAGATAAGATTGAACTAATATTCTTTACGTTTGCGTTACTATGGAACTAACCAAACAGCCGTGTTAACCAAATATGCATGGTTGGATCCTGAAACTACCGACTGCTTGGTAAGCAGGTGTTAACTCATTTTTCTCTACTAGATGACTGGCAAGAGCAAAAAATTCTCTGTTTTCCACTGTTTTTATTTTTAACCTCCCTGATTCCTGAAGCTGTCGACGTTGGAACAAAGGTGTATCTTTGGCCGATCGATGAATGTGGGACGAGCATATTTTTACTTACAAGCTTTAAATCACTCTCTGGGATATGCCTTTCCACAATTGTTGAGTTTCCGGTCAATTGGGTGGTGTCGACGCGAGGTGCTCCACTAAGGAGAATTTTACTGTGAACCAAGTTGATTGAAAAGCGGGAGCTGAGAAGCACAGATGTCCATTTCTGTCAAATATGGATGATATGATAGGAATAGGATAACAGTTACTACGAAGTCCAATTTGGAAAGTGATGTGATGAGAAGACGCCAGTGGTTGCTCTCTTCCTGTAAACTGCGCTTGTACGGTCAAAATATTTGATTTCCTGGTGCATTTTTATCGTTTGAATGCATTGTATATTAGTAGCATTTCACTTTCAACATGTTTTTCCAGCTGCTCTGGATGTTTATGCCAACGCCATCCAGGTTGGATTTGGGCCGGGTTGTGCGGTTCCTGCGCATCACGTTGTGTGAGCATGGCCTTGACTGTGTGTCAGTGTAAGGATTGACCAGTATGGGGAACACTTTGCAGCAGCAGGTGTTGTAGCGTTGTCAGTAGCATCTGGACAGACAGATGGAAACATACAGGACGTTGCAATTACAAGCAGTTAACGCTAGCTGGCTAATCACTAAAACCAAAAGGAAGGCAAAATGTGAAACTCAACGGTGTGAATGAAATCTCCCAAAATCTGTATGGTCAGTCGGCACGTTTGTGCAGAGAAGTAATGCCTGTACTGTACATGACTCGTCCTCGCTTGGAATTGAATTCATACTGGGATCCCCCGGAGCAACGGCAGTCTGACCGTGCACGAGCAAGCCCGAGCCGGTCAAAGCGTACATGGCGTGCTCCTTGGGCAAAAACCGGATGCTGAAGCTAATGAACTAAAGCACAGAACGTCTGAACCTCTTCATTCAACTCGAGCAACTTGCCAATACGGGCCGGTGTGCATCTGAGTTCTCTCTTCCGTTTCTTGGCAAAACTGCTGCTGTTCAGTACTGCACCCATTCTCATCGTTCTGACGGTTGTCGAATCAGAAGTTAGTTCAGAACGCAATTGAAGGTTGTGCGTTCACTGAATCTGAAACTGCAAGTTGCTCTACTGCTCTGGATCCTCTCCTGGATTTCAATGCCGCCTATCTATCTGTCACTGTCAGGCTAATATACCATTACGGGCCAAGACCAAACCCGAAGCTAGTGCCATCCCAAACAGCGCGTGCAAGCGCACGCAGTAGTACTTCGCCATGAATATATTTGTGTTGTCCTGAAGGCGTGTGATCTCAAACCGTATCAGCGCAAAATCGCATCTTCATTTTTTCAGAGAAAACGCAAGGGAGAAGAGCGATTTACCTCGTGATTTTTCAGCACATAGTCCACAACCAATTTTCCCATGGGCAGAGTGAGGGCACAGAGGACCTGAAAATTATCGTAGCAATGGTTGAGCCAAGAACTGCAATTCAAGATCACTATTTTTTTTTTACATGGAGCAGTATGATCGGTTGAAAGTAGCTCACAATGCAAGCTAGTGGGAGAGATCTGCATATGCCAAATGCAGCCAAGAGAACGTAAAGCGTGAGAATCCCAATGGACACTATCCGCGATCCTGCTTGAGTGCCAATTCTTACCTGTTGGCAGATTCAGGTACACAAAACCCGTGTTATAATAATAAAAAAAAGTTATGGGTGCGAAGTCAAAATTGGTAAAGGAAATTTGAACTTGGTTTTAAGGTAGAAGGAATACCAGTGGAGACATCTTTCCAACGGCAAGGTCCCCATCAATCTACAGAATAAAAGGGTGTATCTGCTTATAAGAATTTTTCTCAAAAGAAAACAAAGTAGTACTACACTGGACTACTTGGGGAAAAAATTATACAATGGACACTATATTGTCAGCCAGAGTTATACCTGATGGAAATGGCTGCAGAAGAGTATCATAGTAGTTGTCAGCCCAACAAGAATAGATGAAGCTATAACTGTTTTGGTGAGAGGGAGAAGTGCCGTTCCGCTGGCATATCACAATATTTAAAAAACTATTTAGGTTCAGTTGCAAGTGAAACAATGGTCTTCAATTAAGATGTACAGCAATAATCCATGGTTACCTCGAAATATTTATGCTCCTGTTTGAGAAGTAAAAAGCTGTGGTTGCCAATGGACCAAATGCAGCAAAACACAACGGCTCACCTAGTCCTTGATAACTTAATCGGAATGGAGGACACTGAGGAAATGCACAAAGTCAAAAGAATGAAATTAAAGAACGAGAAATATTACTCTAACTACTTGAACATGACTTATGGCTTAAATACTATTATGTGTACAAGGATTCAAAGTCAATACAAACAGCCAAGTACATATGGTCTAACCAATGATACAGACCATTAAGATATACTACACTAGTTCCTTGAAAAAGGGAGTGAAGATAATACTACCTGGTAAACATAACCACAGAAGATTGCACACATCACCAATAAAATAAATCTGATATCCTTGGCTTCTGCAAAGGCCCAAAATAGCCCTGCAAAGCCGAGGAAAAGGGAAATGTTCGCAGCATTTTGTGTCATTGCTCGACTGCATAATCAGATTACAACATAACATCATGTTTCACTTCTAAAACCAACCATGCCAGTTGCCAGCCAGTTACAGTGTTATTAGTTCTATGAAACAAGAGTGCAATACCTGCCAGTAATGCTGACAACAGATTCTTTCTTGTTCTTATCAGCCCCAGTATCCGAGTCATAAACATCATTGCTGCAGTGAAGTCAAACAAAGGATTTGACTTCTAAAATCTCTGTTCTACGTTTTTTCAACTACATAATCCACACGATAAGACCCTATTCAATA